CTGCTCCGTCCCCTCTGCCCAGTCCCGCCTGGCCGCCTCCCTCCTGCACCCCTCCGTGAAGAGAACCCCCACGAGCTGCGGCCTCGAGGGACCCCAATTGGGCTATTTCGTTAGAGCCAGTAAAGAAAGAGAGTGCTGCGGGGCTTAGGGGGGTGTCTTTTTTTTTTTAAAAAGAAAAAGTTACTACAGTCTTTAAGCAGCAACGAGGGGACAGATGAGCTGCTCCCGAGTCAGCCTTCCCCAGCAGGGAAAACACAGCATCTCTCAGGGCGACCCCGCAGCGCGCTCCATCGAGGGGAGATGCGGAGCACTGCGGTCCCATCCCGCCTGGTCCCAAACGGCTGCAGCGGGGGAGTCGCTGCTGGAGGAGTCTCAGCTCGGGCTCTTCCCAGCGGCCAAACAGTAGAGGACTGCCCTGATGCAGAAGCTCCCGAAGCGTCACCATCCCAGGCAGGCAGCCGGGACGGGCACAGCCTGAGCCAAACCCGCGGGGTACGGGCTGCCCGCTGCCGAGCCGATGTCCGGGTTGGGAGAGCCACGGCACGGGCGGCAGCGGCTCCCGAGAGAGCAGAACTGCAGCTTCACCTCCGCACGGGCGGAAAGGGTTTGGTGCTCCTGGTGACGGTTTTCAAAAGGCTACTGCTGATTTTGGAGTCCCAAGGTTCCCTCGCTGCCTGCGCTACGCAGCAGCCTGCGTCTCGCCCCGCATGTCCCAAAAGTGACCGTTTCAGTGTCTTCCCACGTTTGTCACAGTCTTGGGCTTTTGGTGCCTAACCTAACAAAATACCGGTATCGATACCAAAACAGACATTTTCTACGCTCTGGCCTTTTGTTTTCCTCTGAGCTTCCCTCCCCCAACGTTTATGCTTGCCAAATTTTGCAGAGAAACGCTTTGGTTTAAGTGGAGAAACATCCCCGTTGATCTTAAACCTCTGCAAAGGATTTTACCAAATCTCTTTCTTTTAAAAACATAGAGCTAAACACGGCCCGTTATCTTACTGTGTATTTTCTTACGCTTTGCGACACAGGTGAGGTGACCTACATAAGCGAATTCCTAGCACATTACGGGCATCAGCGTAACGTTAAGTGGCATTCTGCCGGGAGATGTGGCTGTCTTATTTAACATGTGTATGTCTTATTCAGAGCCTGGAAGAAGAAAAAGTAAAGCAGCCTAGTCATTAAAGTCCCAGATGAGAGCAAATGGGAGGAACTGCAGTTATCCACCAGAGGAGGAATGCCAAAGGGGCTTTGACAGACTCTGAGCAGGGAATCGATATTTCAGTGGAATTTGGCAGGGGACGTGCCAGTCTCTAATGTACGGGGAAGGAATGGGGCTCGTGCCCAGCAGAGCGCACGGGGAAGCAGGAACCCACGGGCGATTCTGGGAGAGGGGGTACGCCGCCGTGGCGCAGGACGGTACCCCGAGCCTCCTCGGTGCTGAGCGCTGACGCCCCGTGCCTGCCGCTGCCCACAGCGGCCGAGCTGCCAAACTGGAGGGCGTCCAGTTCGCCTACACCTGCAGGAACTCCTCAGCTCTGGGCACGCTACCAAGGAGACGCTGACAGGTTTCAGGGATGTTTGCAGAAATCTCATGAACGTGACAAAAATCAAAAAGGATAGTAAATACTTGACAGCCAGAAACCCAAGTGGAAGAGAAAGTATTTAAAAAAAAATAAAAATAAAGTCGACAAAACTTAAATTAGAACAACAATGAAAGTGTGGAAGAAAATCTACCCTCCCTCGCCAGGATTTTCCTGATGCATAAATGTCTTCGACTCGATAAGACAGCCTCAAGGGCACGGGCAAGAAGAGGAGAAAGAATAAAACTGGCATTTCATAAAAACCGCCCAGGGCCCCGAGAGGGAGGAAGATCACTCCCCAGTCAACACAAGCAGAAAGACAGACCGCCTTACCGTAGCGATCCATTCCACTTTTACCAGTGCCCAACTTTTGGCGCCCGTCCCCCTTCTGCCTGCCGGCACCCCACCGGCATTCAACACGCAGGCCCTGACCTCGCTTTTGCAGATGAATTGCACCCGACTGCCACCCGAGCCATTCCCTGCGGGAAGAGGCGTACAGCCCGGGGGTCCCTCCTGCGCCTGGGGGCTCGTGGCCGGGAAGAGCTCTCCTGGGAGGTCCTCGAGTAGACATCCCTCAGCCACCGGTTACACAGACATAATGCACATCAAAATAGGTGCCTTGAGCGCGTAGCAGATGCTCAGGTGCAGAAAGCATCTCTCTCCCCCACTGCAACACTGTCTTCGCAGCAGAGAATGGCGTAGCGAGCGTCTGCAACAGCCACGGAGGCCAAACAAGGTCCACGGGCTCCTGCAGCACGGCCCCGTCACCACCGGACAACCGGGTCCCTCCTGGGAAGTGGCCAACTTACTGTGGTTTGCCAAAAGCTGCGCAGGTCAGTTCCAGCGGCTCCCCTTCCCTCGTCAGGCCTTGCACCGGGTAATTCTGCGACACCCGCACTTGAGGCTTATCTGCAGGACAAAAACATCGTTTCGTGAAACGCCGTGTCAAAGCGGCCCAAAGCCACCGGCGGTGCCCGGCGCCGCTCTCCCCGCGGGCGCAGCAGGACCAGGGGAGCCGGCGGCACGCGGGACGGCGACCGAAGCGCTGCGCTGCCCCGGGAAACACGCTTTGCTGCACCGAGCTTATCTCTGAACTCGCTCAAGCTAAAAGGAACTCATTTGCCTTCGCGCTGAGGTGAAACCAGAGATATTTGCGGTGTTCAGAACTGATAGGTTTTATCACGTATCATATATTACTGTATGACAACACTCGGCGTCCGTGCACATTAATACGTTGGGCTTTACAGGAGATGCTTGTTAGGAACACGCAAAGAAGCCACAGCCACTGCTGCTTTGGTTTAAAGAACAGAAGATCTTATTTCGTCCAAACGGAGCTCTTCTAAATCCTAAAATAAACACAGAGAATTAAAGCATTTATAGTTAGGGAGCCAGCTCGAAAGCACTTCAGTAAGACCCTGCAGGAAAAAACCAAAGAAGCCAAACCGCAGACCTGGAGTCCACAATTAAAAAATTCATTACCTCCTACAACTGAAACACAGATTAAAAACGCAATCTAAGCTGTAGCTAAAATGTTATCACTGCAAGAAATCAATTCAATGCTACAAATGCCATTAAGCCATATATATTTTTCAGGAGTTTACTCAACTGTAAGGAACAAAGGAAGGCAAAAAAATCAGTATGCATAAAGGTTGAAACCATTTAAATGTTTCTATTTCCCCTGAGAGTAACTGCTACCAAAAATATTGGCTTGCCGCATTTTATTAACTGTGTTTAACTCATTAACATGCTTCCTATGGAATAACAGAGATTAGGAAAGAAAAATCCACGTCAGGATTTAACCAATTTAAACTCTCATAATTTTCAGTAATGGAATAAGCTACACGAGTAAATCCTCTCCCGAGATGACTACACCACAAACATTTTATAAGCTAATCCCCGGTACAGATGCTCCTCACAGCAGCGACCCCCGGGCGTCCCCGCCGGCCGGAGGGGCGGCAGCGCGGGGGCACGGCGATGCTTCGGGGCCGTCCCGCGCCCCAGTTCCGCTGGCAACGGGGCGACGTTGGTGCCGGAGAACAACCCTAACGCTTCGCCCGTGCCAAGCAAAGACGTGGAAGCGACCAGAAGGTTCCAGGCACGAGCTGAGGAAGAAAAGGCCCTTCGCAGGAGGGTGAAGGAGCCTCTGAGGGAGCCCGATCCCGGAGCAGGGACCGGTCCCTGGCGTGCCGGGGGTTCCCATGGGGTACAGCCAGCGCAGTCCCGGCCTCAGAGCCCCAGGAGGGACAAGCAGAAGCCACCAGAAAAGCACAAAGTGGGGCTGGAATACCGTACCGAGCGCGGTGCGCGCCCTCAGCGCTCACCCAACGCATAAACAGGGCAAGACAAGTTAAAGTGAGGATTATGCAGCAAGTAAATCATAAGCAGCATCTTAAACGCTGTGCTCACGCTCACCACTCTCCTTCGCAATTCCCACCCCCCCGGCCATCTGCTCGCTATTTAGTATTTGCTTTGCGGCAGTACCTGGGAGCCCGTGCCAGAAACAGGGATGCTATTGCACGCGGTGCTGTAGGAAGAGCAGAAAACCTTTTCAGCCCAATTTACGCGGGAACAGAGAGACTGCAGCACCCTGTGCCCAGAAGGCGCCGTGCAGCATCTCCTGCAGCTTGTCTCTCCTGTTGCTCCCATCCCGTTTTCATTAGGTACAGTTTGGTATTTCTAATGAGCTGTTTACCAGCTGACAATTACTTATGGAAATCAAGAGGAATCCAGGGAAGGCTCGCCGTACTGAGCGTGAACCGCGCGCCACGTGAGCTCTCCCGGAACGGCGGGAGGCGAGCCCTGGCGTTGCAGCTCTCCAGCCCCACAGTCTTCATCAAACAAACAGAGGCAGCGGCAAAGTCACCCCGTACCGTTCCGATCCGGGCACCGCGGAGACGGCACCTGCACCAGCAATCTGGGCTCCAGCAGCACACATGCACGCACTCGTGAAGACGAGAGCATTCCCGATGGAGTTACCACAGCGAACGTCTCTCCTGCGCGGGACTCGCCGGCACGCCGGCAATTACAGCGGGCACTTAGGAAAACGCTTCACCCGTCTGAAGGATTCCGAAGGACGGCTGGGCGCTCAGGAGAACCCACGTTTTAATTAGGCTCCTGCTACACAAAAAAAAATTCACTCGCTTCAACCAAGGCTTTGGGGGGGTGTCTTTTCTCCTTTTGTTTAAGGACACGCATTTCAACAATCTTGAGTTCTACTTCTATTGCCAAGCGCCCCGGCTCAGACAAAGTCCGTGTCTGTTTTCTTCAGATGACGGCCTCTGTTCGTGAAGCTCTGCAGAAGGGCGAGCACGCCGGGATCCCAAGCTCCGCTCCTACACGGGACCACGGCATTTAGCAGCCTACAGCGGTCAGGCTGCGACGGCGTTCCCGGCCTGGGCTAGCACTTTGCCACCTATTAACCCCCTTTATTAAAAGGGCCGTGTTCCAGCGGTTGACATCTGAGGCTGTAAAATCGGGGCGACGACCATCTCGGATGGCGACCGAGGGCGTAAGGCGGGCAGCAGCACAGTTTTTACCACCAAGTGCGTTCCGGCCGCCCGAAATCCTCAGTTTGGAACTTCATAATATCATACCGCTGGATTACTACACAAAAATAAACGCTTGCATCTATGCATCTAAGCCACTACATACTCCACTGGCAGCCAATTAGAGCTAACAACCCAAAGCTATTTCCTAGTACGCCTATTTCTAGCGGCTTAAAAAAACAGCCCAGTAATTTAATAAGGCACCTTTATTAAGCTAAATTCATTCAAAAGCTAAGAGTGATATACAAGGTTAAATAGGAGTAGTCTAAAGGTTACGCTGTAGCAGCAACCAATTTGAAAAACTTATTACAAACCCATTCTGCGTTTGATGAGATTTCTTTCACAACAGGCGCAGCGGGCGCCTGCGAGCGGGGGGGACC